AAAGGGGTACTCTCACTCCGGTGGGAGGAAAAATGCTGGCAGCGCCTTGCAAAAAAGGAGTCGGGAGCAGTTGCCGGCAAGCGCAAAAAACCGAGCGTGCCCGAAAAGGGCGTGAAGCAACGGAAACCTCGCCTCCTGCGCTCGCCAGCTGGGCTCTGGCAAACCACTTCTGAAACACCTTGCCTTGAAAACTGCAAAAGGACTCGTCCAAGCAGTCACTGCAGAGTCGGTAAAGACTGAGCACAGATTTTTTTTTAAAAAAAAACATAAATCCTACTCTTTGCAGAAAAAAATCTTGTCACAGTTCAAGCCATTCCACCCAGCAACAGTACGATGCTTCCACAAGCCTTCAGGTTCCCACAATGAAAGGAGATGCAAATTGCTCAAATGACTTTTATTATTGCAACATAACAAGGCATAAGAACAGAATTTAAAAATTACAATGCAAAGGGACCTTAAAAGTGACTTTTCATTCTGATTTTAGAAATATTGCTAGCACAATGCTTACAATAAATGTTTTAACAAATATTCATGGTCAAGACTCCATTTGTTAAATATACCCAATTGTTAAATATTCCCCATTTGACTGTTTAAAATACTTTCTTGTGCTTGGGATATCCAGCCCCCACTTCCCCTGTAATACAGCAGTAAAGACAAACAAAAAAGCTATTTAAATTAAAAGATATTGAATAAGCTAGACTTTCCCAGACTGCAAAAATATAAACAGGCATTTACTTTTTCCTGAACTAAACATCTGAGCCATAAAAATATTAAACAGCCATGCCCTATAGAACTAGGGCCTCAGCTATTTTAATTAGAGCTATCCTTTATTTTAAAAATATAGGGCAGAAAGCCTTTTGTATATTTATACATTAACAATATTCCTAGGTCACTAGATGAATAATAAAACATTGTGTAGAGCATCAACTATATTCCATACTTGTTACCTCAATTTCACTTCTGTATTGTAAATGTTCAATAATTAAATGTTATTAAAACAAATAAACAAAGAATTCTAAGGCTTTTTCTCCTCCAAAATCTAGATTTTTAATATACACTTTAGGTATTCTGGTAAGTGCCAAAGATAGATTTATCTCCAGAATCAACATATGACCTTCTCCATCCAAGAAGTAGGTCATTTGTGTAAGAAAAAATTCTGTGTATATTCCTTTGAATGTACATTGAAGGGGAGGAAAACAAAATTGTTCATAATTCTTAGAAACAAAAACTGAAGAAAAGTGGGCTATTTATATTTTTTAAAGGAGAGTTAAAAAAAAGTCACTTATAAAAATGGTTAAGCCCATAAGCATTCAATAGCCCTGAATTAATTCATTCTTAGAGTCTGGATGGGTAGATATGTAATACTTATCTTACTGGCCAATTGGTTTGATCTTTGACTATGCTAGCTAATTCTCAAAGGACTCTGCTCTTCTCACGCAGTAGGACAATACAAGTATATAATTATCAACATGCATTATTGATTTTTGAAAATGTCACCACCTCTTCTACTGAGTTCCAGAGCAGCATGCATATCACAGAATTTTGACATCCTGGAGGAAAAGATGCAAGGTAGCAAAGCTGGGCAAAAGAACTAAGTGCTTTTGTTAAAAAATTGGGAGGGTAGTTTTAACTACTATTACCAGCTTCAATGGACATTATAAAAATGATAATAATTGAACTTCAAATTAGATTTAAAACCAAATGCTGCCTAAGTTGTTAGAGCTGCTCAACACTCCAAAATCATAACAATGTACAATTTCCACCCTCTAAAAAGAGTTAATGAATTATTTAATACAGTATCTGGAAATATGCAGGAATGTAACTTTAATGCCTCAGTTCCTTACAGCAGAATCCTATGCTTGTTTATTCAGAAGTAAGTTTCACTGTGTTCAATGAGGTTTACTCACAAATACACGTGCACAGATATATCCATGAGGCAGTTTTGTAGTGATGGTTAGACCACTACTGGGAAATAGTAAGCGATACTCCCTCATCTAGAGGAGAATTAGAGTTGACAGTTAAGTGAAACTTAATGGCCATTTGTATAGTTTTAAACTCAACCTACAAATAGGACTGGAAATAAATTCCAGTTCTTTCCTCCTGAAAGAATTATCTTTCAAATTTACTATTAGAATACCATCATAAACATTAAACTAAGTATGCACTAGTTGAAAATGGGTTAAAATTCCTGCAAATTTGAAGAGGTACCCTCAGATGGAGGAATAACCTGAGGAATGTGATCAGAGTGGTAAAAATAAATAAAAGTGCTATGCTATGGATGCGTTCATTAAGCTCTACGTATCCCTCCGCTCTGTTTGAACAGAGATGACTTTGGGATAAGCTTTGGGAGAGTGGAAACAGTCAAGCCTCATTGGGTAAGGAACACATAATGCAAGCAATGGAAATGCTTTTAGCACCCCCAGAGTCTGAACGCAAGCAAGTGCTGTTAGAAAAAGACTGCTGCAATGCTGCAGCTACCAGTGGACTTCCTGGTTCCTCAGTAGCAATACTTTGCTACTAAAACAGGAACAGAAAGGAGTCGTTTTAGAAAAAGAAAAGAGAAAACAACGCATTCCAGTTAATGAACATGATGCAAGACACAGCTCCAGAAGTGTAATAAGCCTCTGGTCAAGGAAGATTTCATTTATAGATTATCATTTTGGATTCCTGAAAAGGACTCAGAAGAAATTAAAAAAATAGTAGGAATAAAATGGCAGAGCAACATCCATTTACTTACATACTAACATTTGTTTAAATAAATCAAGATCAAGTCCTGTTTATAGTAAGAAGTGCAACTAGTAGAGGCAGTGAAGAACTCACACCCTATATGAATTTATGTTCTTCTGGTACAAATCCCATAAAAAGTTACTCTTGTCCAAATCCTTCAGTTTCTTCAATTGCAAACAATAACTTTTCCTTTAGCTGTTCATAACTCTTGTACGGTGGCAAATCCAAGCGATTGAAACTGAAAATAAGCAGCAAGCTTAATAACACAGAACCTTTGAACAAAAACGATGCAGAAGAAAAAGAAGAGCATCCAGCTCAGCAAGTGATTTTCTCTGGCTTTTTGGCGCCTTGATGTTGAGTCACAGCAACATGCTCAGAAGAATACTATGTGCTTTCCAATGTCTACCTTGTGCATTAATCTGCTTCAATCTATTTCCTGACTTAACTATGTACCATATAAATTACATATATATTATATATCAGCTCTCTTTTACATAAGCCAGCATGATTTTTCCCCCTCTCACCTCCAAAATCTAGGGATATGTCATTCACATAACATTTCATTCTGGAGGGAGAAAGCAAGAATATTTCAATTTAAAATGAAAAAAGTCCTGTTAAGGGTTGCAATATCGGTATAACAAAACACATAATGTTCTGAATAATATATTTAACTAAGAACTTTTAAGCAAAGCTTTAAAACTTATTTTTATACTTTATCTTTTCCTCTATACTAGCCATGTTTTAATTGCTACTAGATTTTAACTGCTGACACCGTCATATTTGTTTTAGTTTTTTGCTGTTGAAATGTAGTTTGAATTATTTATTATGATTTTGTTATCTTTTTCTATGCTTTTATTACTATCTGACGTTATTTCATATATGGTCATTTTATCTGTAATAATCACTTATTTATTGCTTTACTTTTAAGCATTACAGCCTGGACATGTAAACTGGGAGCATGTGGTATCCAAATGTACTCCATAAATAGACTGTAAAATCTACAATACTTTCAAAACTATATTATATGAAGGAACTCCATCTTCTTTAGGAAATATAGGTCCTATATTGCCAGTATTAAGAATATATTAACCTTGCCATATTAAATCAATTAAAATTAACTGAAGGAAAGGAAAGTACTCTTCTTACTCAACAATGTAATATAAAACAATATTGCATATTTGTGATTTTAATGACATCAAGATATGCTGAGTAAGACAGATCTGCTTCTAAGTAGACAAGGAGGAAATAGGAACAGTTTTGTTCTCATTATCCAACAATTTTTAAATGCCTATTTCTAAATGAAATCATTTACTTTGAGGGCCAATTCACATCTGAAGAACAAGCTGAGTTTGCCATGAATGTACACTTAGCAGGAAGCTGCAGTTAATTCTATGCCCTTGATTAATGTCAATATATATGATATAAACTCATTTTATCCCAACAATCACCTTATGAAGTTGGGCTGAGAATGAATGACTAAGCCAAGTCACCTAGTAAATTTACATATCTAAGGGTGCCTCCTCACGATAGTCCAACACCATAACTATTATGCAACTTTATGTGTGATTTAAAATATTTTAGATGTTTATTTACAAAAATATAAAAGTAGCCCTAAATCATTACAGAATGGACAGAGTAGCAGCCTGAATCACAACAGTCATCTAATTACTCACCATGTATGGCTTCTAGGCAACCAGTTTTCTTTACCAACTTTTTCAATACAGAATTTTTGGGGTCCATTACTCCCTAAAATAAAAAAAAAGAATTTAAGATATGAGAAAAAGTAAGTTGTATTAATACAGTGAAAATCAAAGCTGCTGAGGTTCAGATCTTTTTGTAAGAAGTGGGTAGTAAGATCTTTTGTGTTTGGGTCACTATTAAGTAGTAGTCATAACATTCATTTCTGATAAATAGCAAAGCCATCATGGTCAAATGTATTAAAATAATGTCATGTAAGTTCTTCCGTTTGTGCTGACTTACATAGCACCTGAAATTCATTTCCAGTTCCACAAAACCAGGAAGCCCTGGTGATGGTGACCCATGTTCACCTCAACATGCCGTTCAACTACTGTAACACACATTATACAGGGCTGCCTCTAAAGATGACTCAGAACTACACGTCAGAATCCTCACAATCTATTAACCACACTATTTGCCAGCTTGCTTTGGTTCTGCCATTAAGAGACATGGGGGCGAGGGGCGTGCTGGAAGGATCTGGAAAGATAGATGGATGAAATGACCGTTAGAGGCAGATGGGCTGTTATTGAGGACTGAGGAATGCTCAAGGTCGTACCAACAAGTGGGTGTGAGAAGACTGGGAGATTAGGGGGGTGCAGGGGGAAAGGAGAAAAAAGGTAAAAGCAACTTTTGGCACGCATGGGCTCAGTCTTAGCAATGCCTTGGAACTGTACATTTGTTCTCAATAAATGAACTTTCTTTTGAACCATTACTGGTTGCAAGAATTACTACTGAAGTTGGGAGTTGTGAGTGGCAGATCGCTACACTATAACTGGTATTGTGATGGAATGGTTTGATGAAGGCCGTGCTCGGGGAGATAAGCATTTCTTTAGCCCCCAACAGGAGCGTGGGAAGGTTAAGATGAGACTGGCACCACCCTAGGGAATTCACGGTGTTCTGGCTTGCTGGCTTGGGAAGTGTAGATTCAGTCTGGAGAGATTCTGTCTTTGAGGTGGAAGCTAATAACCGAAACAGAACTGTATCTGTACTATCTCGTGGAGTTCTTTGGGCTGAACCTGACAGGTATAGAATACAACAGCCAAAATGTTGTAGCCAAGCCTGCTACTGAAGTATAACACTTACTCTTTGGTCACTGTATTGATTGCTGGTAATCTCCTGGGCCCAACTGAAAGTTCTGTTTGTCACTTATAAAGTCTTTTACAGTGCAGCTTCAAATTGTATTAGGGACTGCCTTCCCCAAAATGTTTCTGCCCCTCTTTGTCAGGTCATCTAGAGAAGGCCTGTTCAAAGTCTTGCTCCCTCAGGAGGTAAAAAGGTTGTGGATCAAAGACAGACCTTTTCTGTGATACTGCCAATGGTTTGGAACATCTGGCCCCCAAAGGTGCACGTGGCCACTTTGTATGTGACATTTTATAAACCTGTGAAATTAATTTGATTCAGTGGGATTTTGAAGCTTAATGTCAGAACTCCAAGGTAGTCCAGACCAGGAAAACAAAGTTATGAATGCTAATGCACGTAGTCTTTGTTCAGCAACTGCCTTGGACAGTGACTGTTTGCAGTTACGACAGTGATGAAAAAGTAATTTTGCAACCAATGCCTGCATTTACAACCTTCACAGTATCTCTCTCAGTCATGTGTTCGCCATTAGTCAGGTAGTACATATTATCCTGTGCCTGACCCATTTTTTTTCTTTTTCCCCCTCTTGAAGAGCCAAGAGATTGCCTAAACAATCTTTCTGATCTGAGCTGCTTTTCTCCACATCACAGGGTATCCCCTAAAAAGTGCTAACTGCAAGTTAATAAGCTAAGCTCCCTGACCTTAATTAGTTGATTAGAACCCTCTGGCTGGTTTTCCTGCTGCCTGACACTGACAAGACCCTAATCAATTTCACACTAAAAGCTTCTGTTTGCCTCCTAAGCTGCTGGTGGCTTGCAGCTGCCAGCCTGCTAGGCAAACAGGTGCTAGCACCTTCCTTTCTATGTGTATTCCCCATTGTGTGCCTGCTTACTCTCTTGTAATCTCTTCCTCTGCAATGAATGTACAAACATTAATTCTCTTCTTGCTAATTATCCCAGCACCAGGGTGAGCATTCCAAAGGGCAGGGCAGTGGGGAAAAAGGGCTGTAAGATTTGCCCTTTTATAGGGCATCTTTGTGAGTCAAGTTCCCGAAACCTTCCCCATCATTTGGGCTCACACACCTGTTTGGGGTTGTATCCTTCTGATGCTGTAAAGCAAAGGAAAGTTGAAGTAAAATCATAAGCACAGTAGTGGTCATGTGATTTTTCACTTAGCAACTGCTTTGTTTAATGACTAAGTTGCCAGTCCCAATTGCAGTGGCTAAACGAGGACTATCTCTACTATTTTACTATAAAGTTATAGTAACAGAATCTTGCAAACCTGAATGCACCTCTCCCCTCCCTGCCTTTATGTTCATGTCAGGCCCAGCCCAAGAGCAATGATGAAACGGTCCAGTCGAGTATAGTTCCTTTATTTGCGTACACCTCAAAGACAGAATCTTGCCAAACTAAATCTATACTACAGCAACTAGGGGATATACCCTGGGAGATTCTAGGGAGTGGCTACCCTGAACCTCTTACTCTTCCCACACTCCCCCTGCAGACTGTGTTTTCTTTTTTCTCCTTTCCCC